GACATGCTCAATCGCCTGGCTGTGGGTCGCCGTCTCCTCGGCGTTCGCGCGCCTCCAAAAATTGATCGGTGCTCCAGTGAAGAGAACATTGGCATTTGAAACCCAGGCCCGTGTCTTAGCAAAATTTCAAGCAGGCGCTGTGCCCGCCCTGCCTGCACGGTCTCATGCATGCGAAGGGTGGAAAAAATGCATGTTTCCAATATCCCTCTCCTCTTCCCCAAGCAGCCTTCTGTGTTGCCTTGACGTTAACAGACGCTAGCACGATGGCAGAAACTAGAAATTGGGGCTGGCGTCTTCTGAAGCACGTGAAAAAAAAAAGCTGGACCCAAAACGCTGGACCAAAACGCTGGCTGTTCCACGTTTCACCATGATCGGCGCACCTTTCGAATACGTTGATGGGCATTGGATAATGGAGAATTGAGGCTTGGCCATAGACATCACCGCCGCCCTCACCAGACAAGGAATCCTCCAGGGTCTGAAACCTCCTGGGCACGTTCCTCAACAAACAACCCCACCACAGTGGCACCGATGAATCATGAAATCTGGCGCGCAATATCAAGTGCGCCCCCCCCCCAAAAAAAAAAAATCAGGCATAAAAACCGGCCTGGCCCTGGGTACATACCCTTCTTGCCCTGAGCCGTGTTCACGACGCCCTTGATTCGAGACCGACTACTTCGCAACAGTCTACAACTGGAGCCCCCATCGCGAGTTGCGCAGCGCCTTGCGGGAGAAAAACAAACAAACAAAAAACAAAAAAAAAACATCTTACCTGATGCACTAGATAAAGCTGCGCGCTTAATGCAACCGCCTCGATTCGTAAAGATGCACGATATTTACAAAGCCCTTGGTCAACAAACACAGTGGGCGAACGTGTACTTTCTGTGAGAGCGCATCACGGGGCTATGCTCCTATGCTCCCTTCAGCGCTGCTTCAGGACGGAGAATCCTGCACACGGATCTGATACATAAGGATCCAGAACGCCGGGACGCTGCAGTCCGGAATCTCTGCGAATGGAGATTGGGTGCGGGGCGAAACTCACCAGCTCCCCAGGTCTTCGATACAGCAGTGCAGGGGGGCGTTTTCTGGCCTCTCCCGTGTCTCGGCCAGCGAAGCCAGGTCGCCAACGTTATTGTTGTCGGCCGAGGCGTAGTCGTGCCAGGAGGTCTCCAAGGGGCCCCAGCAGAGGCGCATCTTCTTTGCCGTCGGCAGCACGACTGGTGATCGAACTGGTTTTTATGACTCTTACCCCTCACTGCACGAAGATGATGGAAAGAAACATCACACACACACACACACACACACACACACACACACACAGAAAACGGAAATGAGGGGGCACAGGAAGAAGGGCACTGGAAGAAAACCAAGGACCCAGGGAAGGAAAACAAAGGGAAAGGGCAAGGAACAGGAGAAAGACAAAGGGGATAGTAAAGAAAGACTGGCACGCACATTTGCAACGTCGGCATGCTGACCCCTATGCACTTGGCCATTCGGACCCAGGAGAAACACAAACAGAGGGGCTCCAATCCAGACATGCACACGTATACGAAATCATGAACCGTGCCGCCTGCACGCGGCTACCCGCACTTCTCGATCGTCGGCGCCTTGGATCCATGCTGCAGTCGTGGCTACGGCAGGACTGCTGCGGAGCGAGTTGGGAACAACAGCGGCGAGGAAGGACGGGAGGGCAGGGGGGGGCGGCCATCCATACAGACCTACACGTGTGGAACATCTGGGCACGGCGGGACGGCCATGGGACAACCGACTGCGGGACCGCCGCGCGGGACAACCACGGGACAACCGCGCGCCAACGGCACGGGCCAACCGCACGAGGCAGCCGCACGGGACAACGGCACGGGACAACGGCACGGCACAGCGGCACGGGACAACCGCACACGGGACAGCCGCACGGGACAACCGCGCGGGACAACCGCACGGGGCGACCGCGCGGGACACCCGCACGGGACAGCCCCCGTGCCACCACCCTTGGACGACCCGACGAGCAGATAGTTGTGTCACGCTTGCCGACCACCTGCGGCCAGCGATGCCCTGTCGCCCGCGGGCGCACCCTCGCCTCGCCCGCGCGCGCGGCACGAGCTGGACCGAGACCGAAACCGATGTCCCGACGGATTCTTCCCCGACCTTCGACTGCGGAGGACCAGATCGCGCGATTCGCGAAACGCTCAAGCTTCAACACGAGAGGAGGCAAAATCACAACGCTGCGTCCGCTCATGCATATTGAGGCTAGGGCCACTTTGCGTCCGTCTTGAGGTGCCAGTTCGCTCCTCACTGGTCACTTGTTGCTCTTTCCTCTGCCCTCCTCTTGTTTCTCCTCCATCCATTTTTCTTATAGATAACTCCCTCCTGTCGCATCCCCAGACGTCTCGCTACGGCAGGCCAGGCGTTTCGCCTGAGACCTCCTCACCATTTATGATCCTGAAGCTTGAAATTGACAGCACCTTCACGGATGGAGGGCGGCTCCTTCTCAAAATGTGGCTCT